CCTGTTCTTATAATTTTATCTAGCTTTTGTACAAAGTCGAGTCTTGTACCGCTCCAGGTTGACAGCTGGTTAGCTTTGCTCTTGGCGGCAGTACGGACCGCGCTGTAGTGGCCCTCGGATCCGGTCGCCAGCACGGCAGTTGGACGTAGGGTCGGGTTATCAGGCCGGCACCGACGGGTGGCGTTCGTCTGGCGGTCAGGGTAATCTCGACTACCTCGCCGGGTTGGTACTGACCGCCCAGCATCGGTCTGCTGGAGAAGTCTACGTCAATGATACTGGGAGCGCCGGCGTCCCCCACCTTCCGGGCGTTATCGCCGAAATTCGGAACTGGCAACAGTGTGGAGATAGCGTTGCCGTAGTAGTCGAAAGTGGCGTTGGCGTTATGGAAAATGCTGCGATCCAGTGTGATTCCGTCGTCGTCTTCGGACCCATCGTAAACCGTCCACGTGAAGGCCTCGGTGGGTGTCGATCAGAGTGGATTCGGCGTCGTATTCAAACTGACCATGCCCTCTGCCCACCTCGGCCACCAGGTGAGGACCGAGGCCCCGGGCCACGCGGACGGGTTTGCTGGCCACCGTCTGAATCTCCATTTCCTCACCGGGCTGGTATCGGTCTCCTGACACCGGTTTGCTGGTGATGTAGATGTCGGTGATATGAGGCGGCGGGCTGTCGTCCACGTCGTGACCCCGTTGGTCAGTGGGCACCAATTGGAGGGGGAGCGGCCGGAGTAATCGGTGATTCCGGCCGGGTTTTTCAGGCTACGGTAGTCGCTGTTGTTGGAGGCTCCGATCCAAATGCCGTCGTCGTCGGAGTCGCCCGGCTGCACCGTGTAGGTGAATACCAACTCGTCCATGCCGGCGGCCTCGCTGAGCTTCTGGTTGTAATCGGCCCGGGGAGTACCGAGCTTGTCGTGTCACATGTGGACCATGCTCTGGGTGTCAAGTCCACTCGCACGGGCCGATCCCAGCGGGTGGTCACCTCGATGTCTTCGCTTCGGGTCTTACTCGGGTTAGCTAGTAAGCCGTTGATGGGTCGGTTGCTGAACCCGCCCCAACGCATGACCGGATTGCCGTCCTTCCTGCCAATGGTGGCCTGAAGACCGTATCCCTGCTCCCGGGGCACCAGCGCGTTGCCGTCAAAATCGCCAATTGAGAACTGGTGGCCCGGCGAATTGGGGCCGACCCAGATCCCGCCATCGATGCCGTCCGGAACCAGCCGGGTGAAGACCATCCGGTCCGGCCCGGCCTGCCTTGACCCCTCGGCATCGTAGATCGCTCTGGGATACCTGTTCCCCGGAGCGGCGAAGGTCACGTGGGGTTCCGGCCCCGGATAAAGGGTCACCGCTTCAGTTGAGGCGTCCGTAGGTGATTTCCTTCCTTTTCAGGATCTCACCGGGCTGGTAAGTGTTGGCTTCCAGGTGGTTCACTGCTGAGTTGGTGATAGACGTGATACGCTGGGCTGGGGTGTCGCAGTCGTCCAGAAAGACGCTTGCGTCGGGTTCATGCCGGTAGGCGGCAAGCACGCAGTCGGGCAGTTCACGACTGGGAGCGAGCTCTTTGGAGCCCGACCACTGCCCTGGCGCGCGAGCCGCGTTTGAAGGTCCCGCAATCTGGTGGAGCGATACCGGTAGTAGCCGATGTAGTCGTAACTGTTCACCGGTTGTACGGGGAGTGCGAACGGGGATCGGTTTGCTATGGAAGTTCCGTGCTTGGCTGCCCTTCCACAAGAGGCCGAATAATCAGCAGATCCCCACAACTCTGAACAGTTACATGTAGTCGCTGAAGGTGAATGTCGGGTGCTCACCATCGACATCGGAATAAGAGAGGCCGGCGGCATCGTCGATGGTGATCCATTCGGTCCACGTCGGGAACGGGCTGCCCGCCTGGTACCGAATCCGGTAGCCATCGACCTCGGTGCCCCCGATCTCCGGATCTGTCCAGGCGATGGTCACACTATCACCGGACCCGCTGACGTGGATGGGCGTGAAGGTGATTGACGATTTGTTGACCCGCGCCGGAGGGGCAGTCGCGCAGGAACGCAGACCGTCGGAGTAAATGTAAAGGGCGGTGTTTTTGGCCAGCTCCGCCGGAATACAACCGGTCAGCATATTGTCGTTGATGTCCAACCGGACCAGCGCTGACAAACGACCAAGCTCACTGGGCAAGTCGCCGGTGAGCTGGTTGTAGCTAAGGATCAGCATCTCCAGCGCCGACAGGTCGCCCAGAGTGCCCGGAATACTGCCGGAAAGCTCGTTATGTTCGAGTCGTAGGGTGTGGAGTTGGGCAAGGTCGCCCAATCGGGATGGGATCGCGCCGGTCAGCGAGTTTCCGTTGAGCCTCAGTCGCTCCAGTCCGGATAGCTGCCCCAATTCCTCCGGAATCTCACCCGAAAGGCGGTTGAACATGATATCCAGCCAGGTCAGGCTGGTCAGATTGCCGAGCTCCGGAGGTATCTGACCGGTCAACCGGTTGGACGTCAGGTGCAGGACCTGCAGATTGGACATATTGCCCAACTCCACTGGAATGCTGCCACGCAGCCGGTTGATCTGGAGGTAGAGCGTGTCCAGGCCGGCCAGATTGCCCAGCGCGGCAGGAATCGTGCCCGACAGGTCGAGCGCCGCGACGTTCAGGAACGTGATCCTGGTTGGCGACCCTCCGGTGGTCACGCCATCCCATTCGCCGATGGGTAAATCAGCGCTCCAGTTCAGCACGCCGTCCTCGTCGAGGGTGTCTTTTGCCTCCAGCAATGTCTGGCAATCGGACACCAGCCCGGCGTTGTTAGAGGGGTCGGATACGGCTGCACCGTCGGAGCACCCGCTCCCGCCCTGCGCTCGGGACACGCCGGGGCTCCACAACGTCGCCGCGACGATAATGGCCGCCAGTGCAACTATGACCCATACCGTTTGAGACCGGCGGGCTTGGAACGGATGCTGCTTCTGTGGTCACCATTCCCGGCTTATCTTATGCCGTCAGATGTACCGTATCAAACGTGAGGCTGGTGCGGACAGTCCGATGACGCGAGCTCTCACGATTTGCAATCGCGACTTCTTCTATCTCCGTTGCATTGGTTCATGCAGGAAACCTCTTACTCTCGGTTCGCCGCCGCCTGCCCGCCAGAGTCAGTGGCGTAGTCCACTTTGCAGCAACCCACCGGGGCAACCCAGCGAGTGCAGGGAAGCTGGGTTCAAAACCCGTCGCTGGGTGGTGGAACCCGCTCACAGCTGGCTGAACCGCTTCCGGCGCATTCCGATCCGTTCGGACACGCCGCCCAACAACCATATCCCTTTCTTCATTTCGCGTGCGCCCTCATCGCCCTTGGAGCCGCCGGATTATCAGGATAGGTTCTTAGTCTTGGACTACGTCGACCTGTTATCAGCGGGCGAGCGGAGTCAGGCACCGCGCAACTGTTCGGCAATTGCTACGATTGGTTCTCAGAACCTGTCTACGATCTCTGAAATAGGTTAAGCTGAGACTATTATCAGGGGAGGGGTAATCATGTCTCATTCCTATCCCAGCGACATCAGCCGGGAGCAATTCGTCCGGATTCTGCCGACGTTGGAGTCGGCCCGACGCCGGACCAAGCCCCGCACCGTGGACTTGTATGACGTTTTCTGCGGCGTGCTGTACCTCTTGAAAAGCGGGTGCCAGTGGCGAATGCTGCCCGCGGACTTCCCCAATTGGCGCACTTGCTACAAGTATTTCCGGCAATGGAGCGAGCGGCCTGGCCCGGGTCAGGATTCCATTCTGGAGCAAGTCCTAAAAAAAATCGGTTGGCGCGGCCCGACAAAGCAATGGACGGAAAGAGCAGACCAGCTTCTGTATCGTGGACTCCCAGAGCGTCAAGAACACGGACACCGCCGGGCACAAGGGCTATGACGCAGGCAAGAAGGTGTCGGGAATCAAGCGTCACATCGCGGTGGACACGCAAGGATTGCCCCATGGGATACACGTGACTACCGCCGACGTTACCGACCGGGCCGGGGCTTTGGCGATGTTTGACCGGCGCCGAGACGGCCTCAGTCAAGTGCAGAACGTGCTGGTGGACGGGGGTTACACCGGAAAGCCCTTTGCCACTGCGGTGCAAGGCCTGTTGGGAGCCTCGGTGGAAGTGGTGAAACGCAACGAACTGCACACCTTCGTGGTGCTTCCAAAGCGATGGGTGGTGGAGCGGTCTTTCGCCTGGCTGGAAAAGTGCCGCCGACTCTGGAAGAACTGCGAAAGAAAGCTCAATACCAGCCTGCAAATGGTGGTGCTTGCCTTCACGGTGCTAATCCTAAAAAGATTGTAAAACAGGCTCTCAGAGCCTGGGGATTGATTGTAGGCTAACTCAAGCCTGAACGGCGCTGCTGGGCAACGACTCTTCCCAGGGCGGCGTCGATGCGGGACCCCCGGCGGCGGAAACCGAGTTCCCGTCTCATCTCGGCCTGAAGTTCTTCGTCGGTGCGTAGCAACGTATCGGAAACGATCCAGTTGGCCAGCGCCATCAGTTCCCGATCGCTGTATTCCACGATGCTGCGCCTTCGGCCCAGGCGGGCTTTCGGGTCCCGCTGCGGGGGAGGCGCCTCGGGGTGTCGCTTTTCAGGCGCCTGGTCCGGTTGGGGCAGGGCCGCCATCGCTTGCGCCGCGTTGGCGGTGACCTGCTCCACCGTCTCGCCCGTACCGTGCGTATCAACGTAGGTCACCATGGCCCTCAGGTACTGGTTCAGATCGCCGGCCACCGGCGTGTAGCTGGCCGACGGCGCGCTGGCAATGTCAGCCCAATTCGTCGACGTGTCCGACGACCTCGCCCACTGCCAGGTCGCGTTGCTCACCCCTGCATCCTCGTCCGCCAGCGTCGCCGTCAGCGCCGCGCCCACCTGGGGCCGAGCCTTCGACAGAGTTGCGGGCCCCGCCTCGTCCACGTCAGTTACGTTGACGGCGGGTTGAGTCGTTCCGGTGGTCCATCCCCTATCCTGCGGGTGGCAGCCGGGGGAGGAGCGTCGCATCGTTCGGCTGACGCCGGGTGGCGCAGGCTCCAGTGAGTTGCGGGAGCGGATGGTGTCCGCTATGGCGAGGGAGTCTTCAGCCTGAGGCGTCTCGGCGAGACGGGCTAGTCACTGCGGACCGGGGTCGTCGTAACTCCGTTGCTGGTAGCAATATCGAATTGCTGCTGGAAGGCGTAGAGGCTTGGAACGCCGCACGGGATGAAGGAGTCTTTAGACCAGAGTTGTTTCGGCCGGATTTTAGTGGCGCGAGGCTGACGTTCATTTTCGACACTGCAGGAAAGCTAGATGTTGATGGGCACATACCACTAGCCGGGGCCGACTTACGTTGGGCAGATTTATCAGACTGTGACTTAGGGAACGCTGATTTGTCGGGCGCAGATTTGACCAACGCCAACCTGCATCGTGTGGACTTCAGGGGAGCGATTCTTAGGAAAGCGCGATTGCGTGGAGCGAACCTTGGATACTCCAACCTTTCCGAAGCTGACCTCAGCTGTGCAGAGCTACAATTCACAGATTTATCGGGAGCGACGCTTTGGGCAGCCGATCTATCCGACACCGACATGCGAGGTGTAAATCTTTCGGAAACGGACCTGACGGCGACATCGCCCTGGCGCGCCAATTTGTACCCCGAGCATGTTGTTTCGCCTGGGCAGTACGAGGGAGAATTGCTGCCCCTTAAAAGTGTCGCGGATTTGTTGGGCGCAACAAAAACATTAACAACCCACCATCAGAAACAACGCGGAGGGGTACAGCTCTATTTTCGCGGAGAGCCGAAAACAGGGTTTGAGTTAACCCCGTCGATTCTGCGAGATGGATTCGCCCCTTTTGAAGGCACAATGTTGCTGGCTTTTATGTCCGAACGTCCTGAAGAGTTCAACAACCTGGGATCGTCTCTAGAACAATGGGTCGCTGCGCAGCATCACGACCTTAAAACTCGTTTCCTGGACATCTCCGGAAATCCATTGGTCGCACTTTTTTCGCCTGCGAAGCAACCCCAAAATATGACGCACAAGACGGCAGGTTGCACGTGTTCGCGGTGCAAAGCTCCCTTGTCAAACCATTCAACAGTGACCTGGTAAGTGTGGTGTGCAGTTTCGCGAAATTGCCGGCTAATGACCAGCGTCTCCTGCTTGGAAAACCACATGAGGAACCTATATTTGACGAAGCCAACAAAACACTGCAGCACAGATCACGCGACGTTTGGGGACAGAATCAGGACTACCGAAATTACGAATACATGACAGCGATGCGACGATTGTACCAAGGCATCCGCGGAGACAAACCGTATTTTGAAGAACGCATCGACATGAGAGACTACTACCGGGTTTTTGTTGTGGTGCCACAGCAATCCCGCGAACGCGTTCGGGCCCAATCAGCGGCCTTTCTCGTATCTGCTTTCCATAAGAGGTTTGAACGGGATGAAATCTCCAATTGGAACAACAAGATACCCGTATACGCCCATTACACATTGACAACCCCTAGCGAGTCGAAAAGCAGTTTGGTAGAGGAATTGCGATTGCTGAATATCACCCGCGAGGCTTTGTTTCCGGGCCTTGATGAATCTGCGAGGGCGATCACAGAATACTATCGTCGCCTCATATCACCAACGGAACCCCAGTGAGAATTTGTGGTGCGTAGTCGAGGATTGCCACGCCGCCAATTAAAGAAGCAAGGACCACGCAGGTTGCCCATCGTGCCGCCTTGCCATAAACTGTCGGGGACAGCGACTTGGCTCAATTACCAAGGCGAGAATCGCAGTCTTCACGAAATTCGCACGGGAGGGAAACCGATGCCCCTGCCAACTCCATTGAAAGGTATCCGAGTGGTGGACTTTACCTGGGTGCGGGCCGGCCCCTGGGCGGCGCGCTGGATGGGTACTCTGGGCGCCGAAGTCATCAAGGTGGAATGGCCGCTGAACCTGGACACCCTGCGGCAGAACCGATTCACGGTTCCACCGGGCGTAGAACCCGGCCCCAACTCCACTGGACAGTTTGCCGACACCAACGCCAACAAGCGCGGCATCAGCATCAATACCCGCACCGAGCAGGGCCTGGAACTGGTGAAGCGGCTCATCTCCGTGTCGGACATCGTGATTGAGAACTTCAGCAGCCGCATCATGCGACGTTGGGGGCTGGGTTACGACGAGCTGAAGAAAATTCGCCCCGACATCATTTACGTGTCCATGGCAGGATTCGGCCAGACCGGGCGGTACCATTGGTACGGCACGATGGGCCCGGCGGCGCAGGCGTTGAGCGGGTTGACGCATCTGTCGGGACTGCCGGGCAAGCCGCCCGCTGGCTGGGGCTGGTCGTACCTGGACGACACCGGCGGTATGTACGGCGCAATGTGCGCCCTAACCGCCCTGCGCCACCGGTCGGCCACCGGAAAGGGTCAGCACGTTGACCTGTCGCAGATGATTACAGGCATCACGCTGACCGGCCCGGCTATGCTCGACCGTACCGTCAATGACCGGCCGGCGCGACGGGAGGGTTCCCGCCCGGCAACCGCACCGTTTGGCCGGAAACCGAGGTGCTCAACAACTATCGCGGCCCCATCGCCGCACCGCATAACGCCTATCGAACGGCGGGCGGAGCCTACAACGACTGGGCCGCCATCGCCTGCCTGAGCGATCAGGAATGGCAGAATCTGGTGGGCCTGATGGGCAATCCCGACTGGGCTGACAGTCGCCTGGGACACCATGCAGGGGCGGTTGGAACACCAGGAAGAGATTGACGACCGCATTGAGGAATGGACGAAGAACTTCACCAAGTACGAACTGACCGACCAGTGTCAGAAAGCCGGCGTGCGGGCGATGGCGGTGCAGAGCAGCCAGGACCGGGTGGACAACGACCCGCAGCTGCGCCACCGGGATATGTACGTGCCGATGGATCACCCCATGCTGGGCCCGTGGAAGGTCCAGAACGCTCCGTTCAAGATGCCCAAATCTCCAGCGCAAATGTCCAGCCCACCGCCCATGATCGGACAGCACAACAAGGATGTGCTGGAGGATTTGCTGGGCGTTAGGCACCATGACCTGCTGGATGGCTACGAGAACGGCATCTTCTGGCCCACGACCATGGACCGGTACCCCTATATTGAGGAGGCACTGCGATGACTTCCGCTGACAACGGCAATCAGCCGGCAGACCTGGGCGGCGCCAACCCGGCAGATTACTCGCAGCCCGGCCCGCTCAACGGATTGCGGGTGCTGGAGATTTGCGACGAGAAGGGTCAGTTTTGTGGGAAGCTGCTGGCCGACCTGGGCGCAGACGTGGTCAAGATTGAGCCGCCGGGAGGCGAACCCTGCCGCAGTTTCGGGCCGTTCCTGAACGATGTTCCACACCGGGAGCGCAGCTTGTCGTTCTGGCACTACAACACGTCCAAGCGCGGCATCACACTGAACCTGGCAGCGTCCCAGGGGCAGGATATCGTCAGGCGGTTGGCAGATTCTGCCGACATCGTGCTGGAGAGCCACGCGCCCGGCTACCTGGAGTCGCTGGGCCTGGGCTACGATCAGCTGTCGGCCAACAACCCCGGCCTAATCATGTGCTCGCTGACGCCCTACGGACAGACCGGGCCGTGGCGCGACTACATCAGCAGCGACATCACCCACTTGGCCGGCGGAGGTCAGATGGCCTCGTCGGGATACGACGAAGTGGACGTGCCCAACGCGCCGCCCATCGCGCCCGGCGGCGGCAATTCCTGGCACATCGGCGGCAACTACGCCTACATCGGCATGATGGCTGCGCTGTATTATCGCTTCGTGTCCGGCGAGGGCCAGTACATAGATGCGTCGATTCACGAAGCCTGCGCCCTGACCACCGAAGGAGCCATCGCCATCTACCTGTCCACCGGGCAGGTGGTGCAACGGCATACCGGAAGGCACGCCGCGCCCGATATGTCACCGGCCATCCAGTTCCCGACGGGAGACGGTGGTTGGCTGAATACTACGCGCTCCGGCACCAACCTGACGCCGGCTCGGCTGAAGCTGCTGGCCGACTGGTTCGGACAAACCGGTATGGCGGAAGACCTGGGCGAAGAGCGCTATCAGGACCCCGATGTCATTGCCGAGGAGAACGACCACATCGTGCAGGTGATGAAGAATTTCTTCAACAACTCCACCCTGGAGGACGCCTTCCACGGCGGCCAGCAGCGGGACTTCCCCTGGGGAGCCATCCGCAGCATGGACGAGATTGTGGGCGACGACCACCTGACCGACCGGGGATTTTTCACCCAGGTGCAGCACCCCGAGTTGGGTCGGAGTTTTACGTACCCCGGCGGCGCCGCTATCTACAACGGATCTCCCTGGCGCATCAGCCGCCGCGCGCCGCTAATCGGCGAACACAACGCCGAAATACTGCAGAGCGAGCTGGGCCTCACCACAGGCGAAATGCTGCTGCTGGCGGAGGGGGGAGTTATCTGAAGCTGTCTTCGTCCAACTAGCGGATACGAACGGTGCAGTGGCGTTCAGCACGCTGCACCGTTTTTCCTACCCCACGAACAAGTCTTCCGGCAGGAAGGCTGACACTGTGTAGTTTGGTACGTCCACCACGTTGCTTACCTTCAGGTCCACGCCGACGCTGCAAATTACGTAGGCCTGGTTCCGGGTGAAGCCGCGCTCCTGCAGCAGGTCGATCATGTTGAGCAGGGCGTTGCGGCAGGCCAGGGTCAGGTTTTCGCCGTCGTTCACGCCATCGTCGGTAACTGGCATACCCATGGTGGCGATGAACCTTTGCGGCGCGGCCCATTGCGGCGCGATGTAGTAGTCCTCGCGGGTGAAGCGGGGCCAGCGGATGTTGCGCTGCTGGGCTTCGCCCTTGAGCAGACGGAACCGCACAGTGCACGTGGCGCCCATTTCCACCGCGGTTACGCAGACCTCGCCGTCGCCCTGGGCAAAGTGGGCATCGCCGGTGGAGAACAGAGCGCCATCGACGGCCACTGCCAGCAGCAGTTTGGAGCCGGCCGAAAGTTGTTTGACATCAAAGTTGCCCCCATTCTCCCGGGGCGGCAGGGTACGCAGGCCGTGGGTGGCGCCGACGCCGGCAATGGGCACCGAGCTGGCGGTATCCGGAGGCAGGGCCACGCCACCGCGAGCCGCCAACGCAGCCTCGCGGCGCGTCCATGCGTCGAGTTGGGTATGGCTCGGAGCCACGCCGGAGACACCCATAAAGGGTGCGCCTGGGATGCGGACGCCGGGAATTTGCGCGGAAGTGGCCCAGCCATCGGCGATGTTCCAGTGCACCATGAAAGGCTCGGTGAAGATATCGCGCAGGAATCCGAAGCCAGGCACGATGCAACTGAAGGCGTGGGGCTGAGGCGCAATGTCAACGAACTCGACTTCCAGCAAATCGCCGGGCTGGGCTCCTCTGACCAGAACGGGCCCGGTGAGAGGATGGATAACGCCGGCATCAACGGCATCGAAAACGGTCTCGGTTACGCCGGGGTGAAGTTGACCGTCGAAGGCATCGCGGGTTTCCAGCACAACCTCTTCACCTTCGTCAACCTCCAGCACGGCGGGGATGTCCGGATGCCAGCGATTGTGGCCTGTGTTAGACTCCTCACGCAGCGGCTTGCTGCGGTCGATAGTTATGCTTGGCATTGATCCGACCTCCTGTTGCGCTTAGCGAATCCGTCCTGTTGGCCCATCAAGGAGTTTGTACCATGACTTCCACTGCGAACCCTTCCAATCAGTCCGCGAATCCCGAAATTATCGCCGCCAACCTGTCTGCGGTGGAAGCTCACTTCCATTCCGAGGCCACCAACGAGGTGGAAGCGGCGCTGGATCTTTACACCGATGACGTGGTGTGGGAAGCGCCGGCGCGAGGGTTGCGATTCGAGGGCAAGCGGGCCGTCGCGAACAATTATACCCAGATGTTCGCCAAGATGGCGGACGTTGAGTTTCAGAATCTGCAGCGCTTCGCCACCGAAGACCGGGTGGTGGACGACAGCGTGGTGCGGTTCCGGCTGCTGGATACCGGCTATTTGCCGCTGAATCCCGGCACGCAGGTGGAAATGCGGCTGGTGCATATCTTCGAGATGCGGGGCGGGTTGATCAGCAAAGAAATAGGCTACGAGATGTGGCACTCGGTCGGTTAATCGCCTATGACGACCGCCAGGTATGCCTCCGGCAGCAGGTAGTCGAACCCCACCGATTGGGCCGCGCGGCGGTCGGCGTCGGTGTCGCCCACGTGGGTGCGCGGATTGGCCTGGGTGAAGCGGACGGCCACCTGCTCCAGTTGATGCTTCAGCGTCACGAAGTCGGGGGCGATGTCGTACTCGCGCCAGATGCGCCGCTGGTCGGACACCGGGCGATCGGAGCAGCTGCCGACGATGCATCCGGCGTCCTGGGCCGACCGCACCATCGCCATCGTGATGCAGCCCGGCGGGTGGCCGACTTCCAGCGTGCCGTCGATGTCAAAGCTGATCAGTGCGGTCAACGGACAGTCCTTGCCTTACGGTTGCCCAGCCAGGTAAAGGCGGCGACGGATGAGCGGCGAAGGATGGTTAGCGCCGCCGCTTCCAGGTATCTGGGCTGGTGGTTCAGGCTTCGGGTACCTGGTGCGCCCAGGTGAACCCTTGCGCCGGCTCGTCAATCAGGCGCCATTGCAGGAGTTTGAAGCCATCTTCCACCGGAAGGAAACACGCCTCGACGCGCTTGCCGATGCCGACGTTTTCTTCCTTTTCCATGTCGAAGTTGGCGTCCATCAGGTTGCCGGTGATGCGCAGGCCGTCGTGTTCGTCCGGCTGGCCGCGCTGTTCGTCCAGCTCCACGAGAACGATGGCGAAGGGAGTCAGGTCCCGGAAACTGGGTATCACGGTGTGGGCCACCACCTGGTAGGAATAGATGATCCCTTTGCCGGAAACCTGCTGCCACTCCCAGTTCAAGGATGTGCACCAGGGGCAGCCGGCCCCGGCTCGCCGCGCAGCAGTCCGCAGTCGGAGCACTTTTTGACCACCAGGCGATCTTCGGCGGCTGCCTCGAAGTATCCTTTGTATTCAGAGTCGTTGTCGGGGATGCTCAGGTTGATTCCCCGGTAAGTATAGTTGGGCATGGTTATTCTCCAGGGAGGGACTGGAATTAGTTCAGGATGTTGCCCATGATGAGGGAACTTCCCACGGCCGGCGTTCCCCAGCCCATATTCATGCTGATTTTGGCGTCCTGCACCTGACGGCATCCGCCTTCGCTATAGTCATAGGTGTGTTCGCCGTTGGCCGCACCGGGGCAGTAGTCGTCAACGGTGCCGCGCAGTTGCCGCACGTTCTCGATGACCATGTTCATGCCGTGGGTGTAGCCCTCGCAGAGATGGCCGCCGCTGAGGTTGTTGGGACGGGCGCCGCCGAGGTTGATGGCGCCGCTGGTTACGTAGTCCTTGCCCTCGCCCTTCTTGCACCAGCCGTAATCCTCAAACTGGAGCAGCACGGTGTAGGTGAAGGCGTCGTAGCATCCGGTGAGGTCAACGTCCTCGTGCTTTACGCCGGCCAGGTCGAAGACCCGTGGGGCGATGTAGTGCCCGGCTACGCGGGTGATGGGGCCGTGTTGATAATGAAAGTCGCCGCCGGGTTTGGTACCGCGACCCTGCACGCCTTTGACGTAAACGGGCTTGTGTTTGGTGTCTTTGGCGCGGTCGGCGGAGGTCACGATGACGCAGGTGGCGTTGTCGGTTTCGAGGCAGCAGTCCAGTAGGTGGGCCACCGGACGGATGATCCAGCGGGAGTTCATCACGTCGTCGACGGTAACCCGATGCTTCATCAATGCCTTGGGGTTGTTGGACGCGTGGTTGGAGTGGGCCGCCTTGATGGCAGCCAGATCTTCGCTCTTGACACCATACTCGGCCATGTGCCGGGTGAATGTATAGGAGAATTGCTGCACGGCGCTGATCAGTCCGTAGGGCCGCTTCATCAGGTCCATGCCGCCGATGGGAGCGGACGCCCGAGCGCCGGTGCCGCCGATACGAATGTTGGAATAGCCGTTCATGGAGCGGAAAATCGCCACGGTGTCGCACATGCCGGCTTCGATGGCGCCGATAGCCAGCCCGACCAGGGCTTCGGTGGACGAGCCGCCGCCCGAGCAGTCCATGTAAAAGTTGGGCCGGATGCCCAGGTCGTACTGAATGGAAGTGGCCGGCGTGGAGTCGCCGCCGTGGTAGCTCAGCATCCCGTCAATATCGCCGGGAGTGAGACCGGCATCGTTCATTGCGTTGCGGATGGCTTCGGCACCCATGGCGCGGGTGGTGCGTCCGGAAGCGCGACTGTATTCGGTTTCGCCCACTCCGACGATGCAATATTTATCTCGCGGGTTACCTGCCATATCGTTCCCTCCGTCAGACGGTAATCAGGCGCCGCACTATCCGTGCCGACGCGATGCCGTTACGCTAACACGGCGGGAAAGGGGATTCAAGGCGGGAACGAAGCGCCACGCGTACCCACTTTGTCATTGCGAGCGTAGCGTGGCAATCTAGTCGCCGCAGCAACGGAGGTTCGCCGACCCGGGTTCAGCCTCATCGAGATTGCCACGTCGCTGCGCTCCTCGCAATGACGGATTAAAGCGGGTACGCGCGAGCATTCATGGCGCCCCCACCCGACGGTCAAGCGTACATTACCTGCATAGCCTGGCGCACGTCCTCGATGGTTTGGCGGGCGATTACGCGCTCGCGTCCGGTGCCGGCGAGCAGCACGTCGCGGACGTAATCCGGGTGTTCGGCGTACCACGACCGCCGCTCCCGGATTGGTTCCAGGAAGCGGTTTAGCGCGTCGGACAGGCGGTCTTTGACCTCCACGTCGCTGACCGTGCCGGCGGTGTATCGCTCCTTCAGTTCGGCCACTTCGTCCGCGTCATCATTAAAGGCGTCGTGGTACAGGAAGGCCGGGTTGTACTCCACCACACCGGGGTCGGTGGGTCTTAGCCGGGGGTTTTCGCCGGTGGTGTCGGTGACCATGCGGCGGACCCGCTGCTTCACCGTATCGGGATCGTCGGCCAGGTACACGGCGTTGTTGAGACTCTTGCTCATCTTGGCCCGGCCATCGGTGCCGACGAGACGGGGGACACGGCCCACCCGGGCGCGGGGCATGGGGAAGACCTCGCCATAAATGCGATTGAAACGTCTGGCGATGTCGCGGGTGTACTCGATGTGTGCGACCTGATCCTCACCCACGGGCACCAGGTGGGCCTTGGGCAGCAGGATGTCGGCAACCTGGCTGAGAGGGTAGTTGAAGAACCCGAGCGTAACCGACTGGTTTTCCGATTCAAGCTGGCCGATTTCCGCGCGCAGCGTGGGGTTTTTCTGGTGCTGGTTCAGCGGAGTCAACATACTGAGGAACATGGTCAGCTCGGCGTGTTCCGGCACGTAGCTCTGGATGACGAAGGATGACTCTTCGGGGTCAATCCCCACCGCCAGCCAGTCAGTTGCCACGTCCAGAACCGACCGTTGAATCAGGCCGATGTCGTCCAGATGGTCGCCCATCGCCTGATAGTCGGCAATCAGGAAGAAGCATTCGTACTCGTGCTGCAGCTGAATCCAGTTTTCCAGCGCGCCCAGATAGTGGCCCAGATGCAGTTGTCCGGTGGGTCGCATACCGGTCAGGATGCGTTGCTGTGCTGCCATGTTAGTAGCTCTCCTGAGAAATTATGGGCGATTCGTTAAAGGAGCGGTCGCTCGCGCTATCGACGCTGCGATGCCTTTGGTCAGGCGTCCAGACCAGCCAAATCGCGGGCGCGCTGCAAGGTTTCCGGCGGCAAATCCTGCCCGGCTAGCCGGTGCTCTTGCAGGTATTTTATCAGGCGATCCGTCGCCGATGCTTTGCACTGACCGCACAGCAACTCGCCGGCGCGACACTGGCGTTGCAGTTCGGTGAAATCGCTGGCTCCGGTGGTGGCGTGGAAAGCGTGCAGGCTGGCGACGCCGCAGACCCGGGGGTCGGGATTGCCACCGAGCCGCCGTTGCTCTTCCAGCGTCTGGCGACCACCCGTGTAGGCCCGCCCGATGCGCCGGCGCACTTCGTCGGCATCGTCCCGATATGTGATGCTCCCCGGGGGCACGCGGTTGGTCATCACCTCGACGGCTGAGCCGGTGCGCGGGTCGTGGTAGATGGTAAGGCTGCGGACCATACGCAAGTACAACGCCGACGGCTTGATGAACCCGAACTCCTCGGCCACGTTGCGGGCCATGCGGACGTACACATCACCGCCGAGGCCGTCGAGCACCAGCGTGCGGCACGGCCCGCCCGACTCAGCCTGCTGGGTGTGCAGAATGTCAGCAAGGCGCAAAAGAGGCAGAAAGGTATCGGTAGCGCTGTCGCGCAGGCGCAAACCCAACGCCGAGTTGAGCAAGCTGAGGGGAATGGCGCTGCCCAGGGCGAACGCCGTTTCCGTGATGGCCAGGCGATCCATCTGCAGGTAGGCGTCGGTGCGGTGCAAATCGAGGCCGGCGGCGGCCAGGGTAAGCAAACGGTCGTGCATGGCCTGGCGAGCGGTGGACCGCACATTGGGGTGGCCGGTGTCCGACCGGCCTTGCCGCCGCTCCTCCCGAGTGTCGCGAATGGCAGCGTGGGTCAGTTCCAGGTCACGGAACCCGAGGACGACCTGGGCGCCCAACGACTGGAAGTAGCGCAGCAGGTCGGCCAGCGCGCCGTGCCCCAAGTGCATCGGGCAGCCGCCGCCATCGTCGCGACAACCTTGCAGCGTTGTCCATCGGTGAGGGCTTGCAGGAACAGGTCGGCGTCGCGGCTGGCGACAATCTGGCCGGTTTCCATGTAGGGATGAGGAGCATCGAACCACTGGGCGAACTGCCGGCGCTGTTCAGGATAGCTTTCGTTGAGCCCGGTTACGCGCAGCTCCTTGATGAGTTCGTTTTCTCGGGCCAGTGGCTGGTCGCCGGTGCGCACCACCAGCGACGGTATGGCCATGTCCTGCTCTTCGGTGCGCGACTCCGGAGAGTCGGCATCCAGGATTTGCCCGTGCAGCCGGCTGAGCCGCTGGGCGATGTCGTTGAGAGTGCGCTCCTGCACGGCACGGGCGTTGGAGAGGAGCAGGCGGGCGATGTCTTCCGCCGTCTCCGCAGACATTCCCAGTTGGCGGGCACGGCGACGGGCGCTGACGAAAAGGTTTTCCTCGACCGCCGGCTTGTGAATGGTATCGCTTTCCAGGTACTTTTCGGCGGCGACGTTGCGGGACGCCTCGATGCGGTCGTGCGTAAGGTTCAGGATGAGGTCGTGGCTGCCGGCGATGACGGAGCGTTGCTGTCCACGGTATTCGGCGTAGGGCAATCCGGGCGGCGGCATCTCCGACTTGACCAACGCCGGGTCTTCGCCGGCCAGCAGGCGCACCACGCCTTTCTGCACATCACCCACCTGGGCCAGTCGACGCCAGTCGGTTGGCACCAGGGCGGCATCCTGCTCGTCCAGAAACTCGGCCAGACTTGGCATACGCGACGCGTACATCGCCATCGCCGCGGGCATCGACAAGCGCGGACCGAGGAGCAGCGCCGGGATCAAACATCCCTGACGGTATGCAGAAAGATACCTTTCGCTTCCGGTCGGCGGCACTTCACGCAAGTAGTCGCGGTGGCGTTCCAGGGCAACCAGGTCGAGCAGAGCCGCGTGTCCGAGCAGCAATCCGTTGTTGCCCAGTACCGCGCTGCCTGCTTGATCTGCGGCCACGGCAACGGTTTGCAGCTCCCGCCAGGCGCCGGCTATAGCATCTGATACCGCAGCCACAAATTCGCCCGGAGCGCCAGCGCCCCGCAGCCACGCTTCGGCGATGGCAGCAGATACGCCGGGACGGTCGGCCGCATCGGGGAGGCCGGCAAGCAGCAGCAACGCAGCGGTGTTGATGACAGCCGGATCGGTGGGGTTGCCCCAGCCGGCAGCCTGCAGTTCGGCGGCGGTAACGGTGATTCGGCGGGCGGCCGCCAGGCCCTGGGCGGCCGGGTGGCTGGCGTAAATGGCGGGCAAAGATGCCGCCAGCCGGTGCGCGTCGGGCGTGTACGATTGCGTGGTAGCCATTGCGGTAGATATTCAGCCAGTGGTTGGCTACATAATACCAGCAACGGCGGGGAAGGCGGTGGGTGGCGAGGCCTTCACCCACGGCCCCTGCTCAAATCAAGGAGACTTTTGCATATTCAAAAGCATCGGTGCGGTGATCAACCGCATTTCCAACCGCCCCGATTTTACGGAGCCAGAACGATTAATGGTTTACCGCCGGAGATTGCTGTCCAACGTCGCAGAGCACGCCTCTCCAGATCGGACAGCCCTGAGACGTGGTTCCCTTGATCGGCCTCAGGTTGGATGCCAATGCACCCTGCCCTTCTGGAGCCTAATCATACCCGGGCGGACATAGGGACACTCCCAATGCTTGCTCGCACCATTGGGCCGCGCCCAACAGCTTGCCTTCCTCGTAGGGCAGGGCGCCGAACTGGACGGCCATGGGCAGGCCCAATTCGCTCAGGCCGGACGGCACGACAACCGTGGGCAAACCGCTGGAGGTCCAGGGCACCTGGAAGGCGGCGTCGCCGGTGGTGTTGAGGTCCTTGGGCGCGGGTGAAACGGTGGCCGGTGTCATGACGACATCGACCTGCCTTACCATGTCCACCATGTCGTCGCGGAACTGACGCCGCAACCGCTGCGCCTGGATGTACTTGGAAGCCGGCATTATCAAACCCATTTCGATGGCGGAGCGGATGCGCGGGCCGTAATCGTCGGCCCGTTCTCGGTAGAATCGTTCGTGGTAGGCGGCACATTCCACGTGCATGACTATACGCTGGGCGCTGTGGCACGAGGCGAAGGTGTCGGGTAGCGACAACTCCACGATCTCCGCGCCGGCATCAGCCAACCGTTGGGCCACCTGCTTGGTATGCGCCCATACCTCCGCGGTTGCGGTCTCGGCAAAGTATTCACGCGGCAGCCCAATCCGCGGTGGATGATTATGCTGGGCCATCTGTCGGGTGAAGTCGGGAACGGGCAGGTCCAGCGATCCCGGGTCGTTGGGGTCCACGCCACTCATCGCCGTAAGCATCAGGGCGGCGTCGGCCACGCTGCGCACCAGGATGCCGACATGGTCCAACGACCAGCTGACCGGAACGACGCCGTAGCGGCTGATGCGCCCGTAGGTTGGCTTCAGGCCCACGATACCGTTGTAACCGGCGGGGCGGCAGGGTGGAGACGAGGCCGGTTTGGGACAGGGTGGCGGCGGGCAACCATTCGGCGGCCAGGATGCGAGGACAAACCGCTGCTGGAGCCGCCCGGGGTATGCTCAACGTTCCACGGATTGCGGGTCGGCGACGGGTCGGAGGTGGCAAACTCGGTGGTAACCGCCTTGCCCAGGATGATCCCGCCGGCCCGGCGTATCCTGGCCACCGACGTGGCATCATAGTCCGGGACGAACTCAGAGTAGATCCTGGAACCGGCAGCGGTCAGCATCCCGTCGGTGTTGAAAATATCCTTGAGCCCCACCGGAACGCCGTGCAGCGGCCCTAGGGGATCGCCGCGTTCCACCTCGGCCTCCCGGCGGCGGGCCGTCTCCAGCACTTCCTCCCGGTCGATGGTAACCCAAGCGTGAATGTCGCCGTCGAAACGGTCGATCCGGTCGAGCAACGACTGGCACAGTGTTACTGGCGAGAGGGTGCCCTGCCGTATCTGCGCGGCGGCCTCGGAGACGGTGAGTTCGTAAGGTTCCGGCATCGTCGTCCTCACAATCAATGGGCGGTGTATTGATAAAAACCTGGTTCCAGGTCCACATGCACGGAAACCTGGTCAATTTCCCAAATTTGGCGGGACGTCTGCTCCAGGACATCCTGCAACTCGGCGGCGCGCCGTTCTCCGAATTCGGCGACGGCCTGTGTCCTCAATTCTGCAAATATGTCTTCGACAGAGTCACCGGGCTTCATCATGAACCTCTGGTTGTAATTTCCAGTTTTGCAGCATTCTAACAGATGGGATTCCTCGTGCGCCTGTCAACGTCCCGTCAGCCGCCGACACTCCAGCTTTGGAGAACCTCCATCGAGATTGCCAGGGTCAGCACGCGGTTGGTGGCGAAACCTCCGTGCTATAATCACGATGGATGTGGTGGTTAACGGTGCTTGGCAAGGCTGTGGTAAATAATCCCGCAATCTCCACCACTCACCACCCTGCCCCTGTAGCTCAGTTGGATAGAGCGGCGGCGTCCTAAGTCGCGCGTCGGGGGTTCGAGTCCCTCCAGGGGTACCATATCTTTCCTGTGGCATCGCGTCGGCCAGTGGCGCTTTGACCCCCGGGGTCGTTCCAGTTTCCCGGCCGTGTGTCGCCGAATTACCGGATAATGGTCGGTCCATAATGGCTGCGCTGTCTCGATCAGGAACAGCCTGGATACCTCGGATGATAGGAGGTGCCACATGTCTCGCCTAGAAGGAAAAGTCGCCCTCATTACGGGAGCAACCGGGGGGATTGGTCGGGCTGCGTCCAAACTCTTCGCCGATGAAGGTGCGCGCGTCGTGTTGGTCGACCTTGACGAGTCAGCCCTCCAGGATGCGGTGCAGTCAATCGGAGCAGACCGGGCCAGTTATCACGCTGCCGATGTAACCCAACCCGATCAAGCCCAAAACTACGTGCAGGCCGCAGTAGACCGCTGGGGTGGCATTGATATCTATCTGGCCAATGCCGGGATTGAAGGTTCCATATCCCCGATACCCGACTATCCCATCGACGTGTTCGATCGTGTGATGGCGGTCAACGTGCGCGGGGTCTGGCTGGGCATCAAGTACGTTGTCCCTGCCATGCGTGAACGCGGCGGCGGCAGCATCGTCATTACGTCCTCCACCGCCGGCATCGGTGGCAGCGCTGATATGTCGGCGTACACCACCAGCAAACACGCCGTCATCGGCCTGATGCGCACTGCGGCCCTGGAGGGCGCTCCCCTGGGAATCAGGGTCAATACCGTCAATCCTGCGCCCATCGAGACGCGGATGATGCGTTCTATAGAGGAGATGCGCGTTGCCGCGCTGGACGATGCGACGGTTACCGTCGAACGGACGAAGCAGGCTGCTGCGGCACGTATTCCGCTGCGACGCTACGGCAACCCCGAGGAAGTGGCCAGGCTGATGCTCTTCCTCGCCAGTGACGAAAGCAGCTTTTGCACCGGCGGCGTGTACATGGTAGATGGCGGCAGGTCCGCCGGCAGTCCCTGAACCCAGCGACTCGCCGCGCCCCGGCGACTAGCCCTCCCCTCGGAACGCGCATCCCGCCATAAGCAGGTGTCAGGCTGCCCCGCCTGGGTTCGAACCAGGGCTTACAGCTCCAAAGGCTGACGTGCTACCACTACACCACGGGGCAATTGCGCTACGGTTATTCCAACCTGACGCACCTATCATTGTGCGACGCTGGCCCCCTATCGTCAAGGTTGTCTGACCGTCACCGTCCGCCGTTCTCCAGCATACGTTACCGTTGCCCAGCATACGTTGGGGTATACTGCCGTTCACATCAAAACCCACACTTAACCCACTCAGAAGCGAGGTTTCGTCATGGAAACGGTAGGATTTATCGGACTGGGCAACATGGGCGGCGGTATGTCCGCCAACATACAGAAGGCCGGCTATTCGATGGTCGTATACGACCTGCGCGAAGAGGCTGCCCGGCCCCTGCTGGAAGGCGGCGCGCGCCTCGCCAACACCCCCGCCGAAGTCGCCGCGGCCAGCGACATCACCTTCACGTCCCTGCCCGTCCCTACGAAGTGGAGTCGGTGTCCCTGGGCGCTTCGGGGGTGCTGGAAGGCATTCGCCCGGGCAGCGTCTACATCGACCTGTCTTCCAGCCGACCCACCCTGATACGGGAGATTGAACCCCAGTTCCGCGCCAAAGGAGCCTTCGTTCTGGACGCCCCGGTCAGCGGGGGCAAGACGGGTGCGGCGTCGGGCAACCTGGCGGTCATGGTGGGCGGAGACCGCGAGGTATTCGACCGGGTGAAGCCGGTGCTGGACGCCTTCGGCGACAAGGTTTTCTACGCTGGCGAGATTGGAGCCGGCAGCGTCGCCAAGCTGGTGCACAACATGATCGGGCATAGCGTCCGCCAGGCCATTGCCGAAGGACTCACCCTGGGCGTCAAGGCCGGTGTTGACCCTGAACCCCTGTGGGAGTGCGTGCGTCGCGGCGCGCTCGGCCGTATGTCCTTCCTCCATGAAGGACTCGTCCGCACCATGTTCCGGGGCGAGTTCGAGCCGGCCAGCTTCGCCCTCAACCTGGCGCACAAGGACATCTCCCTGGCTACTGAACTGGCCCGCGAGTACAACGTGCCCATGCCCATGTCCACCCTGGCCCAGCAAATATCCCTCACCGCCATGAACCGGGGTTGGGGCCAGCTCCGACAGCAGCAGCACCGTGCGACTGCAGGAAGAACAGGCCGGCGTAGAAGTGCGCGCGCCCCACGTGGACCCGGAACGCGCCGCCCGATTCATAACCACCCACCCCGACGCCGAATAGTCAAAAAAAGCCCCTCTCCCTAGATGGGAGAGGGGTTTGTCGTGAGGGATGAACCACCCCCTAAGCCTTCTGATAAATCTGGCTGCCGGCCTCGCGGAACTCCGCAGACTTTTCCTCCATCCCCACTTCCAGCGCCGACTCTGGCGCCATCCCGTTCTTCCTGGCGTACTCCCGCACGTCCTGCGTGATCTTCATCGCGCAGAATTTTGGGCCGCACATTGAGCAGAAGTGGGCTACCTTAGCCCCCTGCGCCGGCAGCGTTTCGTCGTGGTAATCGCGAGCGGTCTCCGGGTCCAGCGCCAGGTTGAACTGGTCATCCCAACGGAACTCGAACCGGGCCTTCGACAGGGCATCGTCCCACTGCTGCGCCATCGGATGCCCCTTGGCAACGTCGGCGGCGTGGGCGGCAATCTTGTACGTGATAACGCCGGTTTTCACGTCCTCCCGGTGCGGCAGCCCCAGGTGCTCTTTGGGCGTCACGTAGCACAGCATCGCCGTGCCGTACATCCCAACCATCGCGGCGCCAATTCCCGACGTGATGTGATCGTAAGCTGGCGCGATGTCGGTAACCAACGGCCCCAGCGTGTAGAAGGGCGCTTCATGGCACACTTCCATCTGCCGGTCCACGTTCTCCTTGATTTTGTGCATCGGCACGTGGCCCGGGCCTTCGATCATCACCTGTACATCCTGCTCCCAGGCAAACTGGGTCAGCTCGCCCAGCGTCTCAAGTTCAGAGAACTGCGCCTCGTCGTTGGCATCCGCAACGCTGCCCGGACGCAGGCCGTCTCCCAGCGAGAACGACACGTCATAGGCGCGCATAATCTCGCAGATTTCGCCGAAGTGGGTGTACAGGAAGTTCTCCTGATGATGCGCCAGACACCAGCCCGCCATGATTGAGCCTCCCCTGGAGACAATGCCGGTGAGGCGGTTGGCCGTCAGCGGCACGTAGCGCAGCAGCACGCCGGCGTGGATGGTGAAGTAGTCAACACCCTGTTCGGCCTGCTCGATGAGCGTGTCGCGATACAACTCCCAGGTCAGTTCCTCCGGGTTGTCACCCACTTTCTCCAGCGCCTGGTAGATGGGCACGGTGCCGATGGGTACTGGCGAGTTGCGCAGAATCCATTCCCGCGTGGTATGAATATCCTTTCCGGTGGAAAGGTCCATCACGGTGTCGGCGCCCCAGCGCGTGGCCCACAGCATCTTCTCGACTTCCTCGTCAATGGAAGATGTGATGGCCGAGTTGCCGATGTTCGCGTTCACCTTCACCAGGAAGTTGCGGCCAATAATCATCGGCTCGGACTCGGGGTGGTTGATGTTGGCGGGAATGATAGCCCGGCCGCGCGCCACTTCTTCCCGAACGTATTCCGGGTCGATGCCCTCCCGGATACCGATGTATTCCATCTCCGGAGTAACGATACCCTGACGGGCGTAGTGCATCTGCGTAACCGACTGGCCGTTCTTCGCACGCAGCGGCCGCCGCGTTAACCCGGGGAAGGGCTGTGCCTGGTTGTCACCCCGCACTGTAATGGGATGGCCGCCATACTCTTCCACGCCGCCGCGAGCCATAATCCAGTCCCGACGCAACGCCGGCAGGCCCCGCCGCAGGTCCAGCATTGCCGCGCTGTCGCTGTACGGCCCACTGGTGTCATAAACCGACAGCGGCAGATTATCCTCCTGACCAAACCGTCCCGTAGTAGGATCCAGCGTAACCTGTCGGAAGGGCACCCGAATCGACGGCTGAGAGCCCTCCCGGTAAACCTTGTTGCTGGCCGGGAAAGACGACTTCCCCTGAAATGCCTGCGTGTACTCCGTAGTCTGAACCATTACGCGCCTCCTCAATATGTTGGATATATTGGGCCGCAACAAAATAGGCCGCCAACGTAAAAAGTTGGCGGCCCGTCATTGGCTAACCTACAAGCCCCGATTCCCTACGCTGGCATTACCCAGATCAGGTTCGCAAGGGTCGGAGACATTGTGGTCTCCCTCTCAGCCCGGCTCAACCGAGCTCCCCTACGTGCCCTACGGCTTCTGTTGTTAACCCCGGTTTACCGGGTACACTCATCATACGCACCCCATTCCACACTTGTCAACTACCGCCCTACCTCCCAGGGCAATCGCTCTTAGTCTTCACGCCAACCGGCGTTGAGCCGTTTGCCCTGGATGCCACTTTGAGGCTGTTTTCGTTTTCAGTAGATTGTGGGAGATCTGACGCAGGGTGGCCAGATTCTGCGGCCCGTGGTCTTTGCGCACTCGGCACTGATCTTCTCGAAAGGTTACATCCAAAGTCCAGTGCAGTGAGTTCTCGATGCTCCAATGGCTCCTGACGGCAGCCAGCAGTTGTCCTGCTGGGGCTGGCAGGCTGCTGATGTAGTAGCGAGGTTGACTGATCGCGCCGGCTGCGGTCTCACGATGGCCGACCACTTTGATGGCGGCCTTCAGTTGGGCCATTGCCCGTGAGGGTTGATGTAGTCCAGGCAGTCCGTCGCGGTGATGGTCCAGCATTCCCGCCGTTTCCACCCGTCCGTGTCCCTTGTTCACGGTCTGGGAGTAGTCGTAGGGCACCCCGTCAAAGCCCAACGCCTCCGCCCCCTCGAACAGGTCTCGGATGCCCTCGTGGAGTTGACCCCTGGTTCTCCTTCACCGCCAGGACGTAATTGGCCCCGCCGTCTGTGATCTGCTGGGCAATCTCCCGCTGGCAGCCCATGGCGTCAATGGTCACGATGCAGCCGTGCAGATCCAGCAAGTCCAGCAGTTGGGGAATGGCGGTGATCTCATTGGACTTCTCCGCCGTCCTGACCTGCCCCAACGTCATGGTGTTCTGCGTGGGCCCAGGCGCTGACCAGATGCATGGCTCCCTTGCTCCCCGCCGGTCTATGACCGTCGGCCGTCTTGCCGTCAATGGCGACACCTCACCGGGCAGCAGTTCGGCGATGGCCTGGGTCCAAGACACGAAGCATTTCTGGAATTGGGCTGGGTCCAGACGCGCAAGACATCGCCGAAGTGTCATGGGAGGGGACCCGTTGGGCAATTCAGAAGGTTTGAACCATTCCGCTTGCTCCTGCCGAAGAGTCCACATGGACCCAGGAATCGGCTCCCGATGGGGCGCAGATGGCGATGGCGATGATCCACCTTGTGGCGCGGGTCTTCCACCCGGGGCGTCCGTCGTGAAATGTCCAGATCGATACGTGTGCTGCATCC